CTTTAGGGGAGAATTAAAGTCTCAGAAGTGGGCTCGGCACCTGTGGCTCCAGTGGCTAAGGCGCCAGCCACATACACCTAAGGTGGCGGGTTTGAATCCAGCCTGGGCCCGACAAAACAACAATGATGGCTGCAACCAAAAAAAAAAAAAAATAGCCGGGGCGTTGTGGCAGGCACCTGTGGTTCCAGCTACATGGGAGGCTGAGGCAAGAGACTCGCTTGAGCCCAGGAGTTGGAGGTTGCTGTGAGCTGTGATGCCATGGCACTCTACCCAGGGGGATAGCTTGAGGCTCTGTCTCAAAAAAAAAAGTCTCAGAAGTGCATCTTCGCCCACTTCCGCTTCCCTTCAGAACACATGGCACACACACAGCTATGAAAACAATGTCTCCTTTCTGCTCCCCAGAGACCAAACCACACAGAACAGGTCTCAACACGCTTTCTCCCTGGACACATGCACACAGAGCCTACTGGCCTACTGGGGTCACTCAGCTGCTGGTGCTGGCAAGTTCCTGCCCCACCATGTGGCTAAGGATGCTTGGGAGCCTTTTTTTTTTCCTCTTGGCATTTCTGAGTGATGACACTTATTCAAAGGCCATATTCTTCTTGAGTTTTACTTTACTCCCTCAGATCTCAGTCTGACCTCCTTAGAGAACCCGATTGCCATTGCAAATACATGTCTTTGAGCGCAGCAGTAACTGCACGTTAAAGGTTAAATATATGGTACTCTACACACTGCGTAAGAAATTCTTGTCCAGAATTATTTGGAGGTTACATTGAGGATTTTTTTAAGTCATGTAAAATTTCCCAGGAAATCCATATCTCAGACCGTCCCACTGAAGGACCCTGATTCCAACTCCACACGCTGGATTAGAGAAACCAAAACTCTGAAAAAGACAAACTTTCCACCACTACTGAACACCTTACTTTATCCTTTGTTGTGAATATTTTCTTTTTTGGTATTATACTGTTACCCTTTGTTGTCATAAATAAAGAAAAGAATCATTCATGCAAAATATATCTCAGGGTTACCCTATAATTGATGACAAATAATTGATATTTCTTTGAGAAAATGAAACTAAAAATTAGCACGATCAGCAATAATTTACCACCAAATAATTCAAGGAGGTCTTGCTTGGCCTGTTCTGTATCCCCTGGGCTCTTTTACAAGAATTCATCCCTGCACACTTATAAAATAAAACAAAATGACCAAATAATAACATGACACATCTCATAAAAATGGAGACTATCAGGCAGCTAAAATTAGAAGCACATTTGAGGCAATTATTATGTTACTAGTAGTAAATTAAAACATTCTGGTATATTTGTAACAATATACTTTTTTTTTTTGAGACAGAGCTTCAAGCTGTAGCCCTGGGTAGAGTGCCATGGCATCACAGCTCACAGCAACCTCCAACTCCTGGGTTCAAGCAAGTCTCCTGCCTCAGCCTCCCAAGTAGCTGGGACCATAGGCACCCGTCACAACACCCAGCTATTTTTTGGTTGCAGCCGTCATTGTTGTTTGGTGGGCCCGGGTTGGATTCGAACCCGCCAACACAGGTGTACGTGGCTGGCACCTTAGCCACTTAAGCCACAGGCACCGAGCCTAATATACTTTTTAAAAATAGGAAGAATTGTAAAAGTTAAAAGTTCACCAATAGAATATGGGCTAATTAATTTTAAAGTGTGTTTGGTAGGCTCTTCTATGAAGACTGGAGGAATCTTTGGAAGAATATTGCAAGACTCTCCTTATAAAACAGCTCTGGGAAGTCTTCATCCCAAGTATGCCATAGAAAACCCACTGTGAGCACCTACTTGGGCACGCCCACAAAACTCACATCAGATGTCCACTTGGAAAAGCAAACAGAGCCCAAAGGAGGAACCTAGAAAAGGCTAAATCTGGCTAAGAAATTCTATTCTGAATTAACTTAAAGATTTAAAATCAACTATTACAAACTTGGAAAATGATTCTAAAGGTCTTTTACTTGTTTTCTGCTTTGAAGTGTTTCTTGTTCTGTTTTGTTTTTAAAGAGAATGTTGGGTAGGGATAAGAAGAAACTGAGACGCCGCCGTATCAATGCTCTGAGGAAATTCTTAAGTGACCCTCAAATTGAACCAATCTCACTGTTTGGAGATTTGTTTTTTTCCTTAAAGGCGGAAAAACAGGCCACAATTAAGCACCAGGTCAATCACAGTCAAACATCACGGGGAGGCCACCTGCAGCATGGCCCATGCCTCTGCCCACACTAACCACTTCTGAGCAGTGTTTGAGAAAACAAGCTGGTTTTATTTTTCATAACATTCTTACCTGCAGAGAATGGAGGTAATTAGGTACCTAGAGGGATCCCCCCCCAAAAAAAAACCCCAAATGAATAAATAATAGCAGAATGGAAGGCGGAAGGGACTTTTACTACAATGAAAGTTTATGGGAGCAAAGCAGACAGAAGGAACCACGGCAAGTCTGATTTATGCTACGCTTATTTCAAGCCAGGCACTTTTCAGAGTGTTTTAAGTAATCTAACTCTTGCATCCCCACAATAACCCAAAGAGGTAGGTACTATTACCTTCCTCATTTTATCAATGCATCAACAAAACAAAGAAAGGCTAAGTCACTTGCCCAGGGTCACACAGCCAGAAATTAGCAGAGCCAGGATGTGATCTCAGACCCACTGGTTCTAACGTTTGATCACTGCATTCTTCCAGCTCTTGTGGGCAGCCAGCCACCCACTCAGACCTTCATCACATTCAGCACCTGTGCTCTGTGCCAAGCGACAAAACACCAGAGGGCAGTGTCTCAGTGGGGAGACAGGGAGAGGGCAGAAACGCCATCGAGGCAGAGGGTGCAGCAGGACACACAGCATTTCAAGGCTGGAAAGAATGTGCTCACTCATGGCAGGTAAGTAGTTTAACGCAGCTGACGCAGCAGCTCTATGGGTGACAAAGGGTCACCCAGAGATGCCCAAAGAAGGCCAGAGACAGAGGAGGCAGAAATAACTTCTGGAAGGGCCTCCTGGCCTGGCTAGGAATGTGGATTTACCTGAAATTTTGCAATAAACTGAAGAATTTTACACTAAGAAACAAAATGATCAGATCCTTTCCTCAGTTCACTGGCTATTACACTGGCTAAATGGGAGCGGGCCGAGAATGGACGCACGGAGGCTACTTATGAGCTCTCACTGTGCATCATGTGTAACAAGAGGCCATTTGCTGAAATCACGTAGCCAGGTGACCAGAAAGACAGGGAATTTCTTACAAGGTGATAGAGAGGAACAGATTTGGGGACACATAGCAGAGATGCTCCACCTGTATCCCTGGGGGGGAGGGAGGGTGCCTGGAGGTTATGTCCCAGGGTCTTAAAAAATGCTAGGAACACCGCCTTCTCACTGGAGGAGAAATGCATGCCCACTTTCCCTGAGTCCCACCCTGCCCAAACAATTCTTAAAACTCTGCTGTTAATCTCTTTGGGAGCATTTCCTTTTACTTATTAGAATTTGGTTACATTTCAGCCAGAGAGGTTTGGGCGGTAAATGGCTCCTATGAGCCTGTAAGTATTTCTGAGGGATTATGACTCAATGTGTAATACACATTCCTGACCTTATTACATCTCTAGCCTTCCTGGGTCTGGCCAAAGGTCTCCCACAAGTTCTTTTTCTTTTTTTAAACAAAGATCCTGGTGTGAACTGCTGCTGGACTTTGTACCTGTATTTTTGATGCTTTATAAAAAATTTCTGTTTCAATTCAAAATTCCTCAGTTGTGTCTCTACAGATTCCTGCACAGAATCCTCACTCTCTTCCCATTTGAAGTGAGGTTAAAAATAGGACACATGGGCAGATGCTGTTCAAGTGACCAGCATCCTATATTCTTCCCAAACAAATACTAAAATGTTCAATAAATTTTATGTCAAAAAGATTCCACTTTCCTCCCAAACACACCATATTGATTCTATCAAAATGAAATGTTCTTCTGGAGGTCAAAACCATTGGCCAGCGCTGGGTCTCTGAGATTCCAGTCTGGAAGGTATTTCCCCTGTCGGACCTACCAGTTTGCATTTTCAAGTAGTAAAGCTTCCTTTTGCAGAAAATAGGACTGCAGTTTTTCTTCCACAGTGAAAGCACATGTGGTGGAAATAAGATGGAGTCAGTCAGGCCAGGGCTGACTGGCCTGGACACTGGCTGACCTTGTCCTTTTAGGTCCTACTTCACTTTCACCTCCTGTCTCCCATCCTAGTGTTCTGTAAATTTAGCTCCCACCCTGAAGATGCCTACCTTGAGTAGTTTAGGAGGATTGATTTAGGAAATTAACTTTTTAATTGAAAATGTCATAATAGTTGACTGAGTTATGCTGATTATTATTTAAAATAAGAGTTAATGTGGTCTTTGCCTTGAACGTTTATCGATAAACTGTGGTTTTGGAACTAAAAAGAACTGTCTTGGAGAGGCTGCTTTCACTGTTCTCCAGAATCGCTGACCTTCCGACAAAGTTTGACGGACCTGCAAACTATCCGGGTCTCTGCATAGTGGCTGACAGTGACCGGCGCCAGACCCTCTTGTCCTGTAACAACTGGACACCCCACCCCTACCCCACTCCGGCTTTTTGGTTAATTCTTTAATAATCTCTAAGACAGGAGGGCCTGGGGCGGCGCCTGGGGCCCAAAGGAGTAAGGCGCCGGCCCCATATCCCCGGGGTGGCGGGTACAAACCCGGCCACGGCCAAAAACTGCAAAAAAAAAAAAGACTTGTAGGGCCAGTTAGGATTTTCAGGACAAAGGACAGTGGGATGCTGGACCCACGTCCTCACTCCCCACCAAGACCTCTTTGATTCCAAACTCTCAAGTCTTCCCCTCAAATGCTCTTGAAACTCCTCGCGAAATCTCTACAGTCCTGCCTCCCTCCCCGCGACGGCTTACCTGGTGACAATTAGTGCGCCCTCTCTACGTGTCCCTCTCAGACCTAAGACCAAGATCAAAACTGGGACGTCCTGAGAGTCAGGGAAGCGAGATTTACCTTGACAAAGAGGGTGATGTCGTGCTCCTGCCCCGGGGTCCCCTCCTCGGACTCCTCTCCATCCTCCCGTCCGCCGTTGACTCGCGCAGACTCTTCGCCTCCCTCCCGGCTGCGCTCCTCAGCCAGGTGGTTGCTGAGCTCGGCCTGCGGCTCCGCCGCCGTCTCTCCCTCGGGGCTGCCGTGCGGAGCCTTCCCCTCACCCGCGGCTGCGGCTTCCTCGCTCAGCCCCTCCGGGCTCCGCTCTCGCCTCTCTTCTTGGTTCTCCGTCTCCTCCCGAGGCCCATCCCCGTCCCGGCCCTCGCCAGCTTCTGCTCTCGAGTCCCCAGAGACCGCTTCTTCACACCCCTCTGTCCCCGAGAGCCCAACTTCCTCGGCCGCTGTACCCACCGCAAGCTCCCCGGGGCTGGGACCCGCTCTCTCCGAGGCTGCGGTCTCGATCGCCTCGGCCTGGGGCGGGGGGCTGAGGTCCCCTCCGTGCTGGGGCTCACCCCCGACGTGGGGCTCCCCTGCCATCGGTCCCCCGGCGTCCATGCTGTCCCCCGACGGCCCAGGCGCGCTGCCTTCCCGCGCCTCTTGCCTGCACTCCGTCTCCTCCTGCGCCCTGGGGACCTCAGGGTCCCGAGGCACCCCCTGAGATGCCCCCGGGGGCTCGCCCTGCGCACAACACCCGACACTGGCCTCCTCCACCTGCTCAGCGCTGCTAGCCTGCTCTCCGCCCTGCGGGACCTCGGCTCCCTCCAGGGCTCCCATCCCGGCCTCCGCCTCGCCCTGAGCTCCCCCAGCGCCCTGCGCCTCGGCCTCGAAGCCACTGCCCGCCCCAGGCGCCAGCTCCCTGCCGTCCCCTTCCTCCTTCGCCGCAGCCGCCGCAGCTGCGCCCGCCCCCTCGCTCGCCTCCGGCCGCTGCACTTCTGCGCCTGCGGCCCCGGGCTCGCCAGGTGTCTCGGCCTGAAGCGTTGGGCCCTCGGGCGGCCCCTGGGCACCCGGGGCACCACCCTCCTGCTCCGCGGTCTCGGCCATAGTCACAGCGGGCTGTCCTTGACCCGAAGTTCTCCCTTGACGCTGCTGAGGAGGCCGGTGGCGCTGGGCGAGGAGCTCGGTGCCGGTGGCTGCTGAGACCCCTCAGAGAAGACGCCAGCCCGGGCTCCAGAGGCGAAGGTTTAGCAGCGGTAAAGTCTCTAGGCTCTTTCTCCACCGCTCCAGCCTCTCCCCGACTGCGCGTCTGCTTCCTACCCGGACCTCGGCGCGGGCCGTGGAGCTGGTGTGCGGCGGGAGACGCCGGCTTTGCCCTGCACGCTTTGAAGTGCTTGGCCGCGGTCCCCTGTGCTGGGGCTGACCAGAAGTCCTTGGAGCCAACTCCATCCCCTCTGAGATCTGGGCGGGGTTTCTTTTCCTCTCCTCCCCCAACTTTGGCCTGGGAGCCTGGCCAATGACAGCCCTTCTTGGGGCCCCTGTGGATTTTAATGAAATGATCCCGGTTCTATGGCGGCTTGGCTGTCTTCAAGTTCCAGTCATTTAAATCAGTCCCCAAACACACTCAGACATTCACAGTCCCCACCTTACTCCAGGAACGAGCGTTCAGCCACGCCGGTACCCAACTGAAGGTGCCCACCTCGTGCCCGGTGTCTGAGCGCAAAGGTGCACAGGATGCAGTCGTGGGAGAAGCAGAGGAGGAGCCCTGGCTGCGTCCCAATTTCTGTAGTGTCCCCGAATACAGAAACACAAGGAGCCAGTTGAGTCCCTCTGACCCGAGAAGTGCGCTGCGCTGGGAGAGGGCATATCCCTCAGCTGTGTCTCTGGCCCCCAAGAACCTGAACCTGTGTGTCTTGTGGTTTCTCCGAGATTTCTAAACCCACGGCTAGTGCTTCAGCTCGACGTTAAGGGCTCAGGGAGCTGGAGGTGGGGAGAAGGAAACCCAAGATGCCAAAGAGGGAGGCACTGAATTCCAGACCCCTTCTCCTTAGATAAGGAAGTTAGTGGTAGAAATTATGTAGTAAGCTTACGGGAGCCAGGCTAGGTCTTGTGGGTCACAGTAAGGAACGGGCTTACCAAAGATGGCACTGTCTGTAAATGTGGTGAAACTGGGATCCCAGCTCAAGACTGACTTGACTTGTCAGGCTCTGAACGGTTTTACTACTTGCCTGAGACACGTTCGCCCTCAGACCCACAGAGCCTTGTTTTCATTACAAGAGCTGAGAGTGTTTTTAATGTGGCTTGGGGTCACACCTTTAGCTATCACCAGGATGTCATCGTCTGTAAATAATTCTCATTGCCCATCACTGATGGATGACAGGACAGGCGCCCAGGGGCACCCAGCTTCTCACCACCTTTCTCCAAGTTCATGTCCTATCTGGAAAGAACAGGTCAAAAGCTTCACCACCACAAAGTGACATCTACTCAAAGCATGGCACCCGCACAAGTGAGCTACAGATGAGCATGTTGGACACACACCCCACTCTGCAGAAGCTCCAGCCACCTAGCAAAGCAATCTTGCTTCATTCACCAAGGCAAGAAAGCAGCCATCACTCTAATCTCATGAAGAAAGGTGAAGCCTGCATATTCAGCACCACACAGCAAGCACAGCACGTGTTTACAATATCTTATGCAAGCCCTGTGAGGTCAGGTGTGTTTCAGAAAACAGAATTCTTAGAAAGATGATTGAACGTTTCTACTATATATTACGTGACACAACAGACCGCCTGTGATCAAACACATTAGCAGTATTTCTGCAGGGACACAGACAGCAGCAGGTTGGTGAGATAAAAATCATTCATAGTTTTGGGAATTCCCAGTTTAGGTTTACCACCAAATGAATGCAGGTCAGTCTGGTTTTGCTTCCATAAAAAGCTTGCTACAGTTGGAGCTTTTTAGAATTTCAGAATGAACATAAAACATGGAGACCAACAAAGCATTGAAGGGCTCTAGGTTTAACTGCCGGTGAGCTTGGGAAAATGTGAGCTTAGTTATACATTTAACTTTCGCCTTAAAAACAAACCAGCTGTCTCTAGTTCCAGCTGTCTCTGCTATTACAAAGAATGAAATTAAAGGCACATACTTACATGCAGAACATTGCAAAAGCTTTAAGTCAAGCAAATTTGATAGAAATGTCCTGGTCATAGGAGGGCTAGATTTTGGATTGAGCCAAGAGATGATCAATTATGGCTCACACACATGGCACAGTCACAAACAAGGCTGTTGACTGGTTGACCCTTGGCCCTGCATATTGTCTTTGTAGAAAAACAATACTAGTAAAGTTTACTCTGTCCTGGCAACTGATCCTGCATGTCACACACGGCTGTTTTATTCGATGGGCTTCAGATGTATTATTCTATAGGGCTTAGATTCACTCACTCATGTTGACATTAGTTCTCAAAACAACATCATCTGTCCTTAGAATATACAATCTTTCTCATTTAAATGCTAGTCTTAATAGGCACTTTTTAATTTTTCCTGCCACATCATTTTGCATTTCTTTGATTTTCTGTCATTAAGTAATGTTTATTTTTAAATGAATACAGACTCAATTCTGAAAATAAGCATGGAAAATAACAGAAGTGTAACTGTGCCACCCACAATTCAGCATTTTCTTCCTTTTGAGAGAGAAAGAGACAGATTGCTCAAGATACTGGGTATACAGCAATGAACAAAACGGAGAAGGTCCCTCCACAAAGGGGCAGAGCAAGAACAATAAGTAAACAATGAAACCAGAGAACTTTGGATAACATTAAGCTTTATGCAGACGTAGACGCCAGTATGCTGCACACACGCTGAAAACCTTAATTTCTTTCTCCCACATCCCATATCCAAACTTCCAGTAAATCCTATTGTCTCTAGTTTTAAAAAATATATTCACACTCCAAGGTCTTCTCTCTACCCCCTTTGCTGCCATGCTAGTCCAAGCCAACACCTCCTGTCGCCTAGATTTTTGCCACCCCTCCTAATGGTCTCCTGCTTTGCCCATGGCCTTAGACAGTCTGCTCTCCCATAGGCCGCTAATCTCCTTGGAAATCAAGAGTTTGACCATGCCACTTTTATGCTCAAAAACTTTCAAAGTTGTCCTGTCTCACACTAAGAGAAAGTCGGGTCCTTATGTATGAAGTATGAGGTCCTACAAATCAGGCAGCCCCAATCTCTTTCTGGCCTCATTTACTGCTTAACTTCCCTGGCTCCTAACATACTAGCCCTCCTGCTGTCCCCAAGACTCATTCCTCTGCCCAGGATACCCCCTAGATCTTTACCATTCACTCCCTGAGGTCTCTGATTAACCTATTTTCCCTATTTTAAAACAAAACCACTACACCTGGCATCTTTCTCTGCTTTATTTTCCCCATAACAAGTACCTCCTTCTGACATAGAATCTGTTTTGCTTACTTCTAATCTGTCTCCCCAATCCCACCACACTAAGATGCAGGGGTCTCTGAAACAAAGGTTTTAGCTTGTCACTGCCTAGGGCAGAACACACAGTAAAAGCTCAATAAACATTTCCTGAATGAATGAACAAGCACAAGCTTTCATAGACATATGCATCAACTGGAACTAATTTGTAAAAATACTTTTCTCAATCGTTTTTAAATTTGGGGGGACAAGTAATGTCACAAGACATGCTATTCATGGGAATTCCTATCTACTGACTTTGGTGAATGCTTTAGCAAATCCTTTTAATTATTAGCAAGGGCTAAGCCACTTCATGTAAAGGAACACAAAAGGAAATGCCAAATAAATACAGTCGTGAAGGTCACTATGAAGTTACTTAAAGATTGGCAAGTTGTTAACTTGGCCACCAGCACTAGATTAGCTATTTAAATACCACTGAGGGTTAAAGAGAGGTGACAAATTCAGGAATGGATGGCAAGAAACAAAAGTGTCGATAATTAAGTAGCTTTAAATAATTATAGAGTTTTCCAACTATATATCATGAGGAATCATAAAGAAGGGTAGCAGCTTACAAAGAAAACCTGAAGGGCTTATAAGCAATTTAAGAGTTTATTTTTTATGTTGTTTTTCCAGAGTGAATGGATGCCTTTCCATAGAAATATTCTCTTTCTCTAGCAAATATCTGCTACTTTCAGAAGAGCCCTCGGGAGTATAGTGTATCCATGACATTCAGGCCATAGGATATGCTTATGGCGGAACAAAGGTCCTCCTTGTCCCACGTTCTTTTCAAACAGCTGCAGCCTGTAACTACCAGAGGCTCCAAACCCACTTCTAAATCTGCCTGGCTTTGCCCAGTTGCTTGATTAATTATACTTCAGTTAAAAGCAGGTATCACTGCAGAATGAGCCTAAACGAGGTGGTAGGGTTTGCAAAGTCCACTGATCAGTGGATCCTGAAAAAAAATTCTGTATGTAACATCTTGTGAGACATCTTATTGTTCTTGTGAGACAATAAGAACACTGCACGAAACTAACACAAATTACAACTGTGGTGAAATGGGTGGGTTCTTGGGTCAGATTGCCTGATCTAAATCCCTCCCCTATCTTATAGTAACTGTAAGATCTTGATTCAGCTTTTTTACCTGCAACAGTGCAGGTTGTAATAGGACAATTGTATTTAGGGGGCGGGGGAGTTATTGCTATGCTGTATTTTTACACATTTATGGGGTACATATGATATTTTATTACATACATAGAATGTCTAATTATCAAGTCAAAGTATTTAGGGTGTCCATCACCTCAAGTATTTTTAATTTCTATGGTTAGAAACATTTCAAGTCCTCTCTTTTCTAGCTATTCGGAAATACACAATACACTGTTGTTAACTCTAGCCGCCCGTCTCTGCTGTTGAACGTGACATTACTGAACATATTATTCTTTCTGTCTACCTATGTGTACCCATTAACCAACCTGTCCTCATCTCTACTCCCCACCCTTACACACACCCTTTCCAGCCCCTGGTTTTCTACTCTCTACCTCCACGGAATCAGCTTTTTTAGCTCCCATATAGCAGTGGAAACACACGGTATTTGTCATTCTGTGCCCATATTTCACTTACTATATTGGTCTCCAGGTCCATTCAAGTTT